CGTGCATACGAATTAGAATATCTTTAGAACCGTTGACTAGATTCTTTTCATATTTGGTACACAGGTTAATCACACCACGAGAAAGGCCCCAGTCAGGTTGAGGGGAATTCAACGTTTTACCCTTGTCAGCGAGATATCTCAAAAACCGTTCACTGGATTTTCTTCATATCCGACACCAAACATTAATTGAGGACGGAGCAGGGTCCAGTTCATTCTGGTAACCTTCTCTTATTTTGTCAATGTCACAGCGACACTTCGAAGATTTCAGCATGTTAACCTGCATGATAAGCTTGTCAGCGAGATACTTTAAGAACCATTCCGTGGATTTTCTTCATATTTGACGCCAAGCTTTATCTAGGGAAGGCGCAGGGCCCAGTCGATTCTGTTGACTTTTACTTAATTTTCAAGGTCATGGCGACACTTCGAAGATTTCGGCATGTTGACATGCATGATAAGATTGTCAGCGAGATACCTCAATAACCATTCACTGGGTTTTCTTCAAACTTCAGACTTCTGAATGTTTATTGATAAGCATTTATTTATGCATATTTCTTACATCACATTTATGTCAAGGTCAAAGTGAGTCTTGAAAATATTTGTGTTTGAACAACTACAAAACAAGATATCATTTTTTTTTCTTGGCATTTAACTTCATCTTAAACTACGACCTTCACTTTCATTACTTTTTGAGCTTGATTTGATCTTAGTGACAATGCTTGTTCTCTCCTTCTTACAGCTGCCTGCACCGCATCGATACTCTTTCTCTCTCGTCATTTCCTCATCTGTTCCAGTTTCTCAGATGTCATTCGTTCTTTCTCTCTCAACATTTCTTTCTTTCATTGTGCTCGTTCTTTTCTTTGTTCCTCTCTTGCGTTTCTTACACTCTCTTTCTCTGCTTTCTTCTGCACCCGATGAACAATCCTTCCTATCATGTCTTCCTTTCTCTTTTGGCTGTTGACAAAACTCAGATTTGTAGCAAAGTTTGTGAAGTTGGCCTTCAATTGACCGCAAAAGGCTACATCCAGGGGATGCAGTATGTGGGTAGTGTGAGTAGCGATATCCATCCAGGGGAGATAACCGAAACGGCTCTCCTCCCAAGCAGAAAATGGGGTCAAATCAGATGGTTGTTTTCACAATTTTTTGTAACGTGGCCTCTGATTGCACAAAGAATATAAATGTACCAATGGAAAGAAGGGAGCAAAGCTAGAGACACGTTTCTTCATATTTTAAGAACTGTGACTACATTCGTCACCACTCGCCCCTTTCGGTAACCTCCAAGAAGACTCATCCCTGTCTTGTTGCTTGTTATGTGCGAAAATACCACAAACCAATCAGTACGCGCGTAATGACTGCAGTGCTTTGATAAAAATAATCCCGAGTAGTTAAATGGTTTATTGCATTATGTGATTGTTTAAAAAGTCATGAAAAATATATATCGTCATATTGAAAGTGAAAAAACCCGTAGCTAACACAATTGTGCTGCCGCATTTGATCTTTTTGATAAGGATAATGCCATGGATGTCGAGGGATTCAAATATACGCATGTGCGTTTGTTGACATAACGGCTGTCATGTGTCCAGTTGAGTGTATTGCAGACGGTTTTGCGGGCTTGTTTGGACATTGTACGTGCGCTTCTAACATTTTTTAGGAACCATAATTATAAATCGCTACAAGATCTAAAACAATAATATTACATCTATGCGTAGAGAAACAAAAAAAGAACAGGAATATTCAAGTGTTCCTTTAATATTTTCTAATTTTCATCACTAGCTTTGAATAGCGCTGTGGTGATGAAAACTGGAAAATAATAAAAGAACGCTTGAATTTTTGAATTTTCCTGTGTTCCTTTATTTGATTCTCTACGTATATATATAAAACTAATTTTAATCTTTAAGTTTGGGCTTATGTTTCACATCTCCACCAGGGATATGGCAACAAGGTTACACGAATATATTCAGTTTGAGAAATATTTTAATGTCATTTTTGATTATCTGCTTTGGGATTTATTCGAACTGAAAAAGGATGTTTTTATTTCTATGCAATAACACAAATCCCATTTATGATGCTTAACCCTATGTAGAAATATGCATTTGGAAATATAAGGTGAACGGCTCGTAATAATTACGTTAGAATATGTATAACAAATACCTTTTCTCTCCATCTTTTAGTTGTATCAAAGAGGTTCAGTTCTTTGAAATAAATAGATGAAAACAAAACAAAAAAGACAAAAACTAACAGCAATACAATGTACGAGTGCTTCGGTGATATTAAATACCATTGGAATCAAACAGGAATAGAGTTATCGTTTTTGTATAAAGTATTTCTGATGTTCATGCGCCAATATAAAATCCTTCCAGAGGGGCACGAGTCGATATTCGGCTTGTCCCGGAATAAGACGAGTTGGTCACGATTGATGTGACGAAGACGAAAACTTCCGAAGTGTAAAAAAACAAATATTTATGCAAAGCGCATATGTCTATAAATTAATGTCGTGGGTAGACAAATTATCCAGCTTCAATTTGCACTATTCATTGTAATTTTTTAACAACGTGTTCGTGTCAAAATAAAAATGAAAAGGATCCCACCGCGGAAGTAACTTTCGCTAGCGATCACATATAGATGGAACACATCTGTATCATTTATTATAATACCACACTGTCATTACAGATCATATTAAAGTCACATCGTTCATGTTCACTCTCTTGTTCAATGTTCCCAAACAACAAGTACATGGGATACTGAGTCTTAGTACTCCAGGACTGCGAATTGTAATGTTTTCACAGAAGACAACTCTCATTCTTTAATCAGGCCATTTAATTTTAGGCCAGGTAGGCTGTAACCACATAAAGTTAACATAACATGACAAACACCCCACCCTTTGTTTTTGCCGCGGAATGTATATTGCCAATGAGCTACATCGCACCAGCAATGTGTCAATTATATTGTAACGGATAACTTATTGCCAGCTTATTGGACTACGGGCTATGTACATTTCTTAATAATGTAGGTGCTTGGCTGTATCGGTAGTTCATGATAAATTGGATATTGTATGGATGGACGATGCTTTTTAAGAAGTTACAAATTCATATAGCATTTGGGTGGAACCCATGCCGTGATTTGGAACCACACTCTCATTTGATCGCCAGCATTCCAGGATTCCAAGTCCGACAACTGGTTGTCTTCATTTTCAGTTTGAGTAACTCAAATATGCATATAATTCCACATGAGTTAAAAATTGCCATCTACGTTTTTATGTTTCGTTTTCGCTTTCTTATTTTATATCGAACAAAGCTAAGAAGCAAATATTCACATCATCTGGGTATATTAAATATGCACTGTCTTGCTGGAAATCTACGAATTGTCCAATCAGATCATAACTGTGCTGTTGAAACTAGTAGATTAAGCGAGTGAGTGAGTTAAGATTTACAGTCACATCTGCAATATTTCAGCCATATCGTGACTTGAACAACTTACAAATTCACAATAAATGCAATTAAATTATAAAAAGCCAGTAAATATCCTCACATTTCAATAAGTATTCTTGAGTATACCGCGTATGGCCAATGCGACATCGTCACATAATGACTTCCTCAAATCTAGACTGACAACCCAAGTAGGTATAACCAATATAGGGTTTTATTCCATGTAATTTATTTATACCTATTTGGGTGTCCCACTTCTTCTGCATCAGATCACGGATGTAAGATCTGATGATAGCTTTATAATCGGAGTATAGAATAAGAAGTGGTGTCACAGATATGTTGAGTGCTACATATACAAAGTCTTAGTCCTTGGTGGTGGACGGAATCCAATAGTTTTAGGTTGCTGTTGCAGGCTCCACCATAGCTGATGGAGCCATAATCAAGTTTGGATCGTATAAGCACTCGGTACAGTGGGTGGAGGGTTTTCTGAACCCCTCCTCACTTTGAATTTGAGACAACTTTCAACAAATCAAGGGCCTTCAGGCATTTATTTTTCAATAAATAAGAAATTAAACCCAAGAATTCCGCTTCTTTTACTACTTTCATAGGTGTGTTATCTAAATGTTACGAGAGTGTGTTTTTGTAATGGTAATAACATTGGTTAGGTGATAATAATTATGAGTCACAATGTTTAAAGTTTTGAGTATTGGTTAAGGGTGAAATTTCGAGTCATATATGTTCAGTGGCAACAGTATTTTAGCGTCACGCCTTTATGATAGCGCTCCAGAGTTACCTCCCTTGACCGGATGTTGATGTGTTGACATCGTCATGTCGTATGTTCAACACGTTTCGAGAAAGATCTAAGTGTTTAATGATACAGCCATGCTTTGCTGGAAAGTTCGAGAATCTGTGTCAGCATATATAAAGGCTGGCTGTTGTGTGGTGCAACGCAAGGACTGACACACGGACTAACACACAGAATTACACGGAACTTTCGATATCACTGGAGTTGCCCATCGTTGTTTGCCTTCGTCCTTCGTCATCGTCTGACCCTGATACTTCGTGCCTGACTGCTCTCATTTGTAAACAAGCTCCATTTAGAATATCTGATCTCACTAAATAACAAGGCTTGTGGTGAGTTGATATTTTATATGTGACCCATTACTTTAGATTTGTGACTCAATTGCATTGTACGAGAAATCTGTATTGTGATTCATTGTAGCTTGCTCATTGTTTGCTCAATAAATCATTGAATATTTCAGACTTGTCTGTTATATATTTTGCTGGTTCAAAGGGGACTCTTAAACCTTTTTGTCACGGCAATTATTAGCTGTAACAGTGTGTATTTGTATACCGTGTGATTTCAAAACAGGTGTCCAGTTAAAGAAGTCACAAGTAGACGATCACAGTTGTTATATATACTATCTGCATTCATATTTAAATGCCACGTGGCAGTCCTTTCTGTCTGAGTGAGTGAGTGAGTTAATATTTAACATCACATCGGCAATATTTCAGCCATATCGTGACGAGCCTTTCTGTCTGAACCAGAATAGAGGGAGATAACACATTGCCTTGACGCTACAATATACGTATTGCATTGATAATGAGCCAGTATTTTTGAGATTTTGTCATCCTCATCCTCAGACATCGAACACTTTCAAGGCCATCTTTGACATAATTTGCTTCACCTGCTTCATCAAACGTACACAGATACGTGTACGTTGTACAGGTTGTGTCACTGCTGTACTCCAAGATGGCGCTTTCCGCTACATCCATCTTCTGGCTCTTGGCCCCAGTAGCTATGGTTATCTGTACCAGTTTTCGAGGTTTGGTGAATGTTATCGTCGCTGTATCTCCAATTTTTACATCTTTTGCCCACATGTTCCCCTTGCCTGAGTATACGTTATCCAAAGTGAAACGCTCGTGAATGGTCATTGTCGTGGACAATGTGGCCGCAGTGGTTTTTACCAACTTTGGTCTGGTCTGGTCTGGTAACGATGAATAATACCCACTGTGTAGAAATAGTTCCTTCGGATAAATGAAGCGTGATTTCTGCAACATTATTTTCTGAAAATGCGTCAGCAGATAGTCACAAGGTTGTTCGTTAAAGAAACCCCACAACAAATGAGCAAGTTTACCAACATCAGAACTGTGATACAGTTTACCAATGTAACCGAGGCGAGAAAATTCCAGCATAGTCCATACCTCATGTGTGTTCATCAGTTGTATATAAGACTTTATCTGACCCAGATAATTAGGAACTGCGATGACGTCATCCTCCAGCTGCAGGTAGTATTCGGAAAGAGGCTGTGAATAATGCATGAGAAAGGCATAATCAAGATTCTGTTTGGATCGCCATTTTACACGTTCCATGTCATCTCCATAGGTTTTCTTCAGGTTTTTTAATGATGGGTAATAGGCATCAGGTGCGCGAACAACATGAATAAAGCCGTTTTCCAATTCCGTAGGAAACCACAGGATTACGTTTTGCGCAAATTCCTCTGCGTAGGTGGCGTTTCTATCGGAAAGGAAAATAACTATCGTCGTATTATTCTTGTCCTCATCAGTTGTGTGACCAACCAGAGACCTCAGTGTTTCGATGACGTATGATGCGTTTGGTCGTCTTGTAGTTGGCAAGCCAATTGTCAGGAAACCTGTTGTAAACAGAATGATATGTCTATAAGTCAGTGTTCCAAAACATTCTTGTTTACTTCTTAATCTCTTAACATAGACAGAGTTTCAGGTTGAACTAAATCAGCAAATGCGTTTTTGTTAGTGGATTTTCTGGTCCTTAACTTGAATTTCTGGTCTGTGCACATCTTCATGTTTATGATTAAGTGGCTGTTCGTGGTAGCAACTGTAATAGAATCTAAATTGATAGTATAAGTATTAAAAACATCATGTAAACTTTGTCAATCATAAGTGTCACCTATTTTCGTTATATCACGATCTATCTGCACATGTCCATCCATATTTTTAACATTAAAGTAAATAATAACCTAACAACATCATAGACAGTTACCTGGTTCTGAAGTTCACAGATCTGAGGCATCTTTAAGGGGGCATATTCACTGTTGATAGTTGTTTTATCAAGCACTGAACGTTCGCGGTAGCAGCACTTGTCAGACATGACCTAATTACCACTGTGTGTCACTACGCTATTTACATCCACAGAATAACGAATTTGATCTGTTTGACATTTCTCGGGTTACGGTGACCTGTCAACAACATTTACGTTAGGCTGAGTGACTAATTGTAAATTGGATGTATCAAAGCCACATATTCATTATCTGGTATTTTCCTGCATTCTATGGTAGAAATGCCTTGCTTTACGATATAGAGAACAATGTATAACCACCTGTATTTCCTACATTTGTACCTGCAATATGACAGTCGTTTCGTGTTTTGACATTTGTTGCCGACAATCATTCTAGGCACTAATTGACAGTCTGCTGTCCGTTTTCTCTGTTTGCATTTACCAAATATTTTAGCAAACTTGTTCGTGACCGAATTGTTAAAGGACACATAGGACAACATCAATTCCTGGATACAGGGCATATTGATGCTACACTGGGCCAAAGTTGTTAATGGTCTTAGTATACATTTGACGTCTGTCAAAATGTCGTCCCGCCGCTTGGCCTGAATATAATCGTTGTCCTTATTCTTATTATATCACATGTTTACACAAATCTCACTTGTCCATCATGGTTGATCTTTTCGGACACTTTATTTAACATAAGGACAATACCATATGATAAAGGAAACTGATGCTTTTGTAAATTTCACTTGTCATAGAGCCGACCACAAACCAAGATGGCGGCCACTGACGCTACCTTGACGGAAAGATCTTGTCCGTTTAATTATAACAAATTGTCTCGATGTCCTGATTATTTCTACTGTGTCCTAATTGTATTCGGACAAGAAGGACAACATAAGGACAATTAGTAATCACTTACTTGTGTTAGAAATGACACTGCGTATGCAGTGTTTCTTGTATGTAAGCCATCAAACCTGTGTTCTGATTGGTTGAGAAAGGTCACATGACCTCCTGGTGACTGGTCAAGGCCTGACACACTCGATTCGCATTCGGATTCGATTCACTCGGGTCACTCGATTTAGATACAATAAGACTTTCAGTCTGATTAAAGGCTCCTGCTCTTATTTTTACCTGGCACCTCTACTGACTTAGATTTATCATCATAACTGCTTCTAGGTATATATTTTAAGTCAAATTACAATCAATTTAATAACTATATTACATACTTAGTATCATTTCTGCAAGATATTTGAGTTGAAATAACAAAATAACTATTTCCTTGGAGACTGAGCCTTGTTATTAGATATATATATATAGGCCTAGTAGTGTGTGATATTAATTGGCATCATTTATTTTATTGCATTGCTAACAAAATCCCATTTACATTCTTGCCATTGAAACAAAATTAAAGCAAAGTTTGCATATCAGGGCAAACGTTGTTTCTCTACTTCATCGTCTCCTTGTGTTATTTGCTTTCCAACGTGCACCCCAAAGGGTGTTACACAACGTTCTACGTCAGGCAACGATCACTAAAAACACCAAAATCTGCTGTTTGGTGTATTATACGAACACTTATACTCCGAAGTTGAGGTGTTATATTTGAATGTTCGTTTTGTCAATTTATTGGCTAGTTTTCCTCAATATATTCTGCAGGTAATGGTTCTAACGAACATGATGTTGGTTTTGATGAAGTGATTAGTTTATTTCCAGTTGTTCGGTGACTGGTGTGAATGTAGCAAATTTGGTTCCTATAAATTCTGTATACAAAACAGTATCATTTGGATACTATAAACCATGTCGTATCTTCGATATCTTCTCGGAATGAGTGAGTGAGTTAAAATTGGACATCGCATCGGCAATATTACAGCCATAATTATAGCGATGAAAATAAGGACAGTAAAACCAACCAGAATATCACAGTATCAAGAATTAAAACTAGCATCTATCTCTGAAATAGGATTTCAAATTAGGACAATACAATATGAAAACGGGCTGAGTATCGCTAAGAACTGAAGGTAGGTCACCGTAAAATCTTCTCGGAAAAATACGAACTAAAGATGTTTGCAAGAGTAGTATCAGTACCTTGTGGCCAGGTGACCACAGCCCTCTTGCCAATCAACTTGTTCAGAGTGGAAAACAAGAGCTTGGGATTGTCAGTGTTAGTGGTAATTTCTTGAATAATGTTATCTGATCTAGCCTTTCTGATACATCTGTTTACTTTAATTGGTTCGAGTTGAACATCTGGCGATTGACTTCGAGTCGTGACTTACGCCAGCATAAGTCTGAACAATACCAAGGTGCAAAGTCTGAACAATACCAAGGTGCAGTATCTTGAGGACGAATTAGCTTGATTTTGATTGGTGCATGCTTATTCAACAGGTCTAGCACTGTTTATCAAACAATGCTGTCAAGTCATTAACATCAGCAGGTGGGGGAACAAAGGAGTGTTGATGTGTAATACAGTCGCTTTATGCTCCGATGCTGACGTATATACTCGGCGTCATTAATGACGGGTCAGGCTATTGGGAACACTAATTACTAAAAGTAGTAAAATCTTCGTTTGTGTTAGAAATATATACAACTGAATGTTTTGGAAACTTTCTTAACAGTATGGAAAAACATTATGCCGTTGAAATGTCATTAATAGGTTCTTTAACGTCCGATACATTCTGTTACCAATGGCACATTTGTTATTCAAATTGTCAATATCGAAATCCACATGCCACTTAATGGCAATGATTTGCCCATGCAAGTCGCTCCATCCATGGAAAGTGGAGGACAATACACATGCATTGATGCTTTTTCAATGTCGATCACTGTTCAGGTACCTGTTTGAAATCGCAGCTTAAATGAGACGTTTTTTGACACTTGCTGAAAGGGGTCCGGCTGTAGGCCTTTGGGAATCTGGTCGAGTTCTGCGACAGGTTACTGTCCGCTTTAATGTGGGTCTGGAATCAACGTCAATGGTCTCGTGTTTTCTTCAGAGATGAAAGGAGATGCAATTTGTCCTTTCATGATGATCGGCAGAGGATTTATCGTCGCAATGGAGGGTGAATCACAGATGGAACTGTGGCCACGCATAACCGATTTGGCGAGGGATCGGTCATGGTTTGGGCAGGGATAACTACCACTGGACGGAGTCCACTGCACGTGGTCGACGGTAATCTTACTGGACGATATTCTGGCTCTTATAGCAGGACCATTCCTGCAAACTATGCATGGCTTTTATGGTCGACCCTCTGTACTGCAAAACGACAACGCTAGGCCTCATAGGGCCAGGATTGTCACGGAATTCCTTAGGCAGCAGGGTGTAGAGCGGACGGTATCGCCAGCATGCTCGCCAGACCTCAACCCAATTGAGCATGCCTGGGATGAACACGATCGACGTCACCCAGCACCGTGGATCTCCCAGGACTAGTAGAGAAGTAGTAGAGTTATGGAATGCGATTCCGCAAGCTTTCTTTATGAACTTGTTAAGGAGCATGAGAACAAGCTGATCTTGTGTCTTGGGCGCGCGAGGAGGCTACACAAGATATTGAAGGACCGAGTGCTTCGTGTTTGTCATTTTCATTTTGGGGGTTGATCTACACAACTGATGTGTGCTAGTGCTGTTTGAACTTTTTGTCTGTATGCCACGATGTATCACGTTTGTCAACACATTAAACATTACGATGACACTCTCAGTTCTATATATTATTCCTGTGAACCATTTCTTTACATGTGCTATATACCATTTGACCCTCTATTAATGACGCCTAGTATATAATATTCGTTTTGTTGCTTAATTCTATTTATTGGCTCGTTTCAGTACACCTTCCTAGTTTTCACTTAGACGTTAAAACACCACATTTCTCAATCGTTGTTTACATTGTTTCCATTCCATCGCGGTGCCACTATTTTCAACAAGTGAGTGAGTGAGTTAAGATTTACAGTCACACAACTGTAATACACGTTCCGACATAAACTGATGAAGTAAAATCAACAAAACTGTTTGAGTTCAGGTTGTATATGGGATTGAATCAAATGAGTGCCGAGGACACCGTCAGAATAACGACAGCTCATTGACGCCGGTTTTACGGCAGGTATGGCAACCGATTGGGTTTTTTGCAAATTATCTATATCTTGTGCGAATCATATGACAGGTACATCTATTCTTAAGTGCATATGGTAAAGATGTTTCACCTGCTGTGTGATCTACTGATCACTCATGCACATTGCTACAACAGAATCACACACTCTAACAAATATCATGCCTCGAAAGGTCATTCAAAGTACGTCTAGATACAATTCCAAATATTCTAAGTTGGTTTGATCTCGCCATATAAAATTGTTACATTGTTATATTACTGTAAAACGCGACAGTTACAAGCGATTATTGAAATATTACATGACCAATATACCTGGACCAATGTCTGACTTGATTAATGTTAAAATCGGTATTAATTTACCCTAGTAAGTGAAACTGTTTCACGCAATTCAGATAATAGTGTAAAGTACTATTATACACAGCTTAATGCAGTATTACATTTGTTTAATGTGCATTGTGTTTCATGAAGTATACTGAGCAAAACTGAAAACTTTTTTTCACTAGGATTTTAATACATGCATTAGGTTTAAGACAATAATTTTAGTATGAAGGTTTTGCTTACTTTAGTCTTGGTATTAAAGGAAAACAAAAACAAATCTCGCCGAAACTCTTAAACAACGATAACGTTCATGATGTCAAGGTACCCTCCAAAATGACGATCATGGCGTGGAGAACAATTCAACATAGGTGTTCAGTAGCCTCCTCCAGCGTCTCTTACAGCCACACAACGTCTCCTCATGGATCTTAAAACTTTAGTAAACACACCCATAGGAAGGCGTCGCCATTACTCAGCAAGGTCACGTTGAAGATGTTGCAACGTCTGAAGTGGATTGACTTGCTGACGAACACGTCGACCCAGCTCGTTTGAGGTCGGGGCAACGCGACGCCCAATCCAGAACTTCTGTGTAAAAATTGCCGTATATGGTCTCGCGTTATCTGGTTGGAACGTCAGTCCAGGGCCGTGTCTTTGCATAAATGGGAGCAGGGCAGGTTGCAAAATCCGATCCCTGTACTGGACAGCATTTAAGTTCCCTCGAACGACAACAAGGGGAGAACGTCCCAAAACGAACCCCATATCATTACGCTTTCGCGCACAAATCTGTCCACTTCACGGAGCGTGGCGTTCACCTCGCCTCGGTACACTCGGGCCCTGTCGTCGACAAACCACAATGTGAATCGAGATTCGTTGCTGAAGACAGCCGAATTCCACTGTCTTTGATTAAACCGTATGTATGTCTTGTGGCCCACATACATACAATTGTGATTGTGTTGATAAAGAGGCGTTACATTGTCCATTATGGGGTCTTCGGGGCGAAGTACAGCGGCACGCAAGCGATTTCAGACAGTTTGCGCAGGTATCCTTACACCAAACATCTCCCTACTTGTGGAAGTTGCAGAAGCAAATCTGTCCCGAAGATGACGTAATCGTATTGC